TTTTCAGCCCCCAAGTGACTGTGGCTAATGTGGCCTAATCTAACACAAAATGTTATGCAAAAACTAAGAGTTGAGTAGTCGCCATTTCGTTGAACCGGTTATGACGCCGGACGATTTATGAGGGGAGGCAAGGGGGGTAGCTGGTACGGTTTTACGGGAAATAAAAAGGGCTTTTCACAATATACGAAGAAAAAAAGACGTTTTTACAGTTTACAGTGTTAACAAATGGAACATTGAATGGTCCGAAGAGCTCTCCGACTCAAATTCTCCACCATTGCTGGCTGTGTGAAGAGACGCATGCGCATATACCAAAACTTAAACAAAAAAGAACAATTTAAACTTGTACTACAGTCACCAAATACAAACCATCTTATCACTCTCTGCAAATATTTAGTTAAATCTAAACAAGACTAATTCTTTTATTTTGTCATGTTCTTCTATATTTTTTACATATTCTATGCTACACACAGTGATACTTACATATCACAGTATTTTAATATTTCTTATATTATTAATATTTGTCTGTAGTATTCTTGTCGTTCACTAATGTTGAATTGTTCACTAATGTTGAATTCTTTTTAAATCAATTTTTATATTTCATGTACTTTTATTATTTACTTTATTAATCTGAAAACCTAAAAGGAAATGTTAACTCTTTCTTTACGGTATTAATAAAGCATTATTCTATTCTATTCTATTCTATTCTATTACCCTCGTAATGCTCTTCATTCGGTTAGAGGGCCTTTTACGTCATTCAATTTTGTAGTGAATTGTGTCATCTAGTCGTTTTACAGTTTCTAAAATGTAATTTCCCTGGATTATTCTTTACGATTTTTTTATTTGGATGTGAATTTTTGTACGTACGAGAAAAATGAAACATTTTTACAGTGTACGAAAAAAATATTTGATTGATTACGTTGTACGTCTAGCCTGTGATTACAGAATTACGGAAGTTATTTTTTCTATTTACGTTGTACGAACAAACAAATATTGCAATTACATTGAACGAAAATAACCCTTGCCCCCCCCCCCTCATTTATGGAAAATGTTACATAACATCATCAGCGAGAGACCGTCAGAGAGAGACTTATCCTCTCAAGATGGCTACGTATTTGGCATTTCGTCGGTATGTTGTCATTGTGTAGCGTAAGTTAGCTTGACGAACCTGGATTGTTATTAGAAGGCGCCCTCTAGAGACCTGGACGTAACCGCGCGACCATCCTTTTCACATGTAAGTGATTTAAAGCGC